CCCCAAAACCCCAAAACCCCAAAACCCCAAAACCCCTTTCAATAAATTATAAACTGAAATAAAATGAAGAGAAAGAGTTTAAAAACTCAGATGAAACTTGCTAAGAAAAAATTCGATTTTAGTAAACTCTTCGTCGTCCAACAAGATGCTAAGTAAGAAAATAGTTCTTTCATCATGACCACTCTGGATAGGGTAATGTTCAGAAAAATCGACCGGAACTAAGAAGAAACTCAAAAAGGTACTTATGTCCTTAACCCTTAGGACCTTTCAGACTCTCACCATAAGGTGTACATGCATCTAATGCATAACAAGAGAGTGCAGATGATGAACAACAAAGATAAATTTATCGAAAAGCCTGCTGTTCAGGTCAAGGACTTCAGGAATACACTTCCAAGCTACTCGAACCACATTGGTAAGTATTTTCGACTACTTTAGCACCAGAAGCTTCTTCAAATTAAGAAAGAAGTAGGGAAATTTAACAGTCAGAATATTTATGGAAAAATGTATAAACAAATGCTACACACAAGTCCTACCATCCGACTTGAGAGGGCCAAGCCTAAAAGTATGGTCCAAAGGAACCGGAAGGCAGAGTCTAGCCTTAAATATACCAGTATCAAGACTTTATGAGGAGATACTCAAACTGATCTTGACTCTATTTCAACCATTAAAACTCCTCGGTGAATATTCAGCCAGACAAAGATAAGAAAGAGCCGATTCCAGAAATAAGCTCGCTTGCTATGAATACGTCAGAGATAAAAGGGAGTACCAACCAAGCCTGCCACCTCGGAAGCACTGGAATAAACTTCGAAGGGAGAAGAAGTCAGTAAATTCTCCTTCAACAATTTTCCGGGTCGTCAAGAACCATAAACCATTCAGTTTTGATGGAACTGTTTCATTGAATCCTCGACTTGTCCTCGAAACACCCAAGAAAGATTATAAAGACCCAGATTATAATTTTTGAGATGTAAAGCCTAGGTTTCCTAGCACTAAAGACCAACATCCCTCACTTAAATCAAATTCCAAAAGGCCAAGCACTGTGATTACAAGTAAGAGATCTTGTTAAACCCAAATTTTAGGCTCTAGACAACCTCTGATCAATGAAAACTCTGTTCTGCATCGTGATTTCTTGAAATTTCTGTCTGATAATAACATCAAAGTGACTCATTCCAGTCCTCCAAAAGTGACCTCTGCTACTAGCTCACCGAGAGTTTGTTCTCAAAGGTAATATTTAACTAGGTTCTTCAATTTTACATTAGAAGCAGGGGTTTTGGGGTTTTGGGGTTTTGGGGTTTTGGGG